CTGCATTGTGACAAGATCCCCAACCGCAAATTAATGTTTGCAAGGTACCAAGCTACTGCACACCGGACAAAAATGTTCTGTATTCACTGACACATCCTGTTGATAAGCAGAGCATTCATTCATTCGATGAAAGGCATTCATTTGGCAATCAAGAAATATTTATAGCGTGCCTATGACTTGACTCAGTGCCTGGCACCGTCTAGGGGAGATAAGGCAACCCGGTGAGTCAAGCAGACAAAGGCCCTACCACCTCAAAGAACTTACATTCTAATTGCGGAGACAAATAGCAAATAGAAGAATAAGCAAACACATAAAAGAGATTTTCGTCACCTTTGATAAAGAATCCATGTATTTATCCTTTGAGCACACTGGCCTGCGAGCAAAATGCCGTATGCGCGAGATTATTCATTACAAATTTGTAAAAGCAAAAGGTAGGACACAACCTAATCGTTGAGTCATAGGGAACTGCTTAAATAAATTCTGGTTTATCCATACAGTGAAGCACCATGCAGCCAAAAATAGAAAGAACAGGACTTTTACCTTCTGAGTTTTTCATATACACCTGCATGTACATGTGCATGCTTAGTTGCTCAGTCCTATCCTACTCTTTGCGACTCCATGGACTGTAGCCCACTAGGCTCCTCTGTCCATGGAATTTTCCAGGCAAGAGTACTGGAGTGGGGTGCCCTTTCCTCCTCCAGGGGATCTTGCCCACCCAGGGATGGAACTGGTGTCTCCTACATTGGCAGGTGGATTCTTTACCACTGAGCCACCTGGGAAGTCTAGTATAAACTTTCAAAATCTTCAAAAGGGACATAAAAACTTATAACCATGATTCCCACCAGTTGAATCACAGGGGACACTTCCTCTTCATTGTGTACTATTTTGAATGTGTTAGAGCTTTTGAAATGTGTGCCATCTGAATATATAACCTACTTAAAATAACTGAATTAAATTTACTTTTTACTCAAATGCTTTAATGTGAGTGCAAGAAAAGATGGAGGTACACAGTGCTGAGACTTGGGGAGTGGGAGTTGGGTCAAGATTGAGGAAGGGACAGGATTTCAGGAGGAGGTACCACTGGGGCTGAACCTGGAAGGGTGAAACAGGCATCCATCACACACACACGAGGCAGAAGGGAGTTCCTGACAGCGGCGTGGACACAGGAACAAAAGAGGGTCTTTCCAGGAAACACCTGCAGTTTGATTTAGCTGCAGGGCGTGGGATTCCATGTCCACCAGCTGGACATGAGGCTGAACAGAGGCAAGGTCTTGCCTTCTGTGCCAAGAAGTTGGGGCTTTTCCTAGAAGTGATGAAAATGGGGAGCAGTAACAGGAGCAGGTTTGCAACTCTTCGAGGTAATTCCAGCAGCAGTGTGGAAGGTGGACAGAGGCAGGGGTGGAGGTGGGCAGACTGGAGCCTAATTCAGATAAGGGCCTAGTTCCTTCTACGGGGGAAGCAATGACGTACATGAGGGAACAGACGTGAGAACAGTGGGAAGTTGGCATCAACCAGATTTAGGAACTGATTCCATCAGAGGGGTAGACACACATAAAGGATAACGCCAACCATCTCATCTGGGCTGCCACTCTCTAGGAAGAAAATGAGGCAAAGGAGCAAATTTAGGCGATGGGAGAGGAAGCAATGACTTTTCTCGGGGAGGTGGGGGAAGAACAGTGGTAGGTTCACATCTTTAGCTGTATGTCCTTGAGAAATTCGACTCCAGCCTCAACTGTGAAATAGGGCAAATAGTCATCCTAGAGGATTATTCTAGTCATGAAATGAAACATGTCATAGACTGCACCTGCCCCATTGCACATGGTAGGCATGTGACAAGAGGCAGCCCCGGACTCTCTAGAAATTATACATTGTAGAAAAATGTCTCCAACAGAGAAAGGCTAAGTTCGCTAAGGTTAGGGATTTCAGGCCAGTTTTTGGAAATCAGTGGAGGATGCTGTGGTTCAGCCGATTGCAAGCTCTGTGTCTCCATCCTGGCCACCACCTCTCACCTCTGACCAGTGAGGATGGAGGGCCCAGATCTCTTGCCATTGCTGGGCAAGCAACTCCAAGAAGGACAAGAGGAGGAGGCCAGGACCAACCAAGCTTGGCTTGTTTCAATTCCAGGAAAACACTAATATCTACAAACCCTCAATGGCCAGGCGGGCCCCGTAACTGTTTGGGGTTTTTCACTTCCTGTGATGCATGCGCTCAACCTCCAACTGTGACAGAACAGCAACCCGAGATGGCCAACCCATCGGGCACGCGCAGGTACAACGGAAAGAAGAGTCAAGTCTACCGATTTTCCAGTGAAGATGAAGCCTCGAACGAGCCCAAGTCCAACCATCTCTAAATCCAGAGCCTCCCCATTGCCTACAATCAAAAGCAGGTGGTCTGATGACCTGTGAAATCAGGAATTTTAAATAATTTAAATGGCCAAGACTTACCATGAAAATATGAACAAACCCCCATTCCTTAGGCATGATTAGACCAAGTCTATTTCTTTCGCCTCTGACACTTCGTTCTGAAAAGGTAACCCATCTCTGTCTTGTCAAGGAAAAAAAAAAAATCACAGGGATCTTTAAAAATAAGATCAGAAGAAGTATCCAGAAGTGTATCATTTGTGCCACTTCTCTCAAAGCCAGAAAACCGGAACATCCCTGTTCCCCAAACGGCTGCCCTCTAGGAGCCACGCTCTGCAGTTGCTCTGTGGGCCTGACCTTCAGGGCTGAGCTACCATGGGGTGGGAGGGCAGGGGACGGTGTTACAATAAGGTCTTTCTGATGTGATCAGTCATAAGCTCTTGAGCAGAGACAGGGCTCAAGATGGATCTGTTTTATATGCATTGCCCTTACAGATTTAAGCTATAAGACAGTTATCATCTATTGAATACGCACAGCTCCATCGTGAGCACAGAGGCTAGCTACCCAACATATATATTAGATCAAACAGAAAAGAAATATTGGCCAGAACCCAATGACATTCCATTCAAAACCAAAGAAACCAGGCAACAAGGGTTAGAAGCTTAACAAAATTTACGTGAAAACTGACAGCCGTGGACAGCCTCCTTAGATATCCTATCAGATGTCCCATCTGAGTCAACAACAGAATGGCCTGATAAAATTGGTTTTCTAGGAAGAGCATGTTCTACATCTGATCATAGTTCTGGAAAGATAGAATTAAAATATTTTACATGTCACCAACCCTAAATCCATGCCTGTTTTTAAAAATAAAACATTCTTTCCAAGATTGCATAAATTCCTATTGGTCTCTGGGTGCTTCCTCAGCGCCTTCCCAGAGCTGCTCCTCCAACTCTTCCCTAACATGGTGTCCTGAACCCTAAGCTGTGTCTTTCCTGGCCAACAAAAATTCCAACTTTCAAGGGTGGGCAATGACATTTTCTCAGGCCCTAAGGAGCGAGCACAGAGTCAGACACGACTGAACAACACCAAAGGAGTGAGCAACAATTCAGGTTCATGTAAGAACAGCTGATAGACAACAAAACGCACACTTCTTCCTCTGGGCAAGGCAGGGACTCTGATACTCTGCTCGGAGATGGTCCAGTCTGCCTGGACTAGGTTGGGGAAACCGGCAGTGATGGCTGTTAAGCTCATCCCCAACCTGCCTGTCACCAGGCCCGGGAGCTACTCTTGCCAGGAATTAAGGAGGGACCATTATGGCAACCCACTCCAGTAATATTGCCTGGAAAATCCCATGGATGGAGGAGCCTGGTAGACTACAGTCTATGGGGTCGCAAAGAGTCAGACAGGACTGAGCGACTTCACTTTCACTTTCTTTCATTGCATGTTTCCACGTGACACTGGCAACCTCTGGAACTACTGCATTCATCCCCAAATTACCAAGCCCTTACTGTTGAGTCCCTAAGTCCTGTCCAACTCTTTTGCCATCCTGATGCTAAGAACTGACTGACTAGAAAAGACCCTGATGCTGGGAAAGATTGAAGGCAGGAGAAGAAGGGGACAACAGAGGATGAGATGGTTGGATGGCATCACCAACTGGATGGATGTGAGTTTGAGCAAGCTCGAGGAGTTGGTGATGGACAGGGAGACCTGGCGTGCTGCTGTCCATGGAGTCGCAAAGAGACGGACACGACTGAGCGACTGAACTGAATTGACTGCATCCTACCAGGTTCCTCTGTCCGAAGGATTTTCCAGGCAAGAATACTGGAGTAGAGTGCCATTTCCTCCTCCATCGAACCCAAGTCTCCTGCATAGGCAGGCGGATTCTCTACCACTGAGCCACCTGGGAAGCCCTAAACCCTAAGATCCTACTCCAAAACTGCGCGGAAGTCAGTTATTGGGCAGCAGCACCTGAAAGTTAAGTCTTTTTGGTTTTATCAAGTAACTCCCAGACATCCTAAAAGATACGCGCCCCACCCCCATCCCACCACTCCCACCATCCTAGCAAAGAGGAAATAATTCTCTGATTGTCACATCTCTAATCTCCCTCTAAACTAACAACGTTGCAGAAAGAAACAAACTATCCTAGCAGGGCTCCACAGCTGCTGACAGTCAGGTAATCTACTGCCCGCAGGAAAACCCGAGACACGTGTGCGGCCCTTTATTCAGGCGTTCCTGGGCGCGCACCCGCCTCTCGCAGGCGCGCACGCACACACATACATTCAGGCGCAACACACACAGCTGGCGACTTAGTTTTGTCTTCCTGCGAGCGGCTCATCCCCAGTCCTAAGCGTTTCCTCCGCCTGATCGCCGTCCCCGGAACCCGCGCCTCCTCCAGCCTCCGCGCCGCGCACGTGGGAAAGCGCGCCCGAGTGGTGTCACAAGGGAGGAGGGAAGCGTAGGTGTGGGGAAGGCCAGGGATGACGGAGGCGAAAGCTCCGAGTGGGATGTGGGATCTCGGGACCCCGGGGGCGCCGTAGGTGCCATGTAAGCTTCCGGGATGGAGAGGGGGCGAGGGGGAGAAAAGCAGCGGGGGAGGGAAGGCGAGAAGGGGCTGGGGGGAGGTGGGGAGGGGTCGCTCACCCAGAGTCTTGACGGCGATCTGCCTGGTGAGCGGCGGCGGAAGGTTGATGCACACCAAGTCCACGTCCTGATGCAGCAGCACTTCGTCGATGCGGCTGGTGTAGAAGGGGACGCTCATCTCCTTGGCCAGCTCCTCCGCTTCCTCCTGCGTGCGGCCCCACAGCGCCTTCACCGCGAAGCCCTCGTCTTTCAGCAGTGGGATGATGACACGGGCCGTGAGGCTAGTGCCGAACACGCCTACCCCGGGAAGCATGGCTGCTCCGATCCGCCTGGTTCGGCGTTAGCTCGGGATCTCCGCTCGAACACGCGCGCGCACACCACACACAGACACACACACACACACCCCTCTAGACAGTCTGGCACCCGGCTCGCCGCGGTGCGCCAGCCACCGTGCACCGGGCAGGGCGCCCGGGTGCCCAAGAACGCACCGAGCTGCAGGAGGAGCGGGCTTGGGCGTCTCAGCACGGTGACCGCTGCAGTGTCCGCCACGCGAGGCTCCCGTCCTTCCCGGAGGCGGCGGCAGGGACCCCGCCGGGGTGCCCGAGGCCCCGAAGCCCCGCGGAACCCGGGCTCAGGCGGCTCCCCAGCGGCAGCGCGGGCCGGCTGCGTGCGCCCCGCTGAGGCCGCTCCATGGCCGGCTCATCCCCGCGCGCCCGCGCCGCCGCAGCCGGGACCGGCTCTCTCCCCCGCGCGCGTCGTTTACCGCAGCCGGAGAGTCGCACGCACAAGCCTCGACCGGACCGGCCAGGCTGCGGGCGGGTGGGGGTCCCAATCCTCGCCGCCCGCCGCTCCAAAGGAAATAGCCACCGGGAGGCCGGCTAAGCAGGAGGCTTGGAGGGCGCAGGGCGCGGATGCGGAACGGCAGAGCGGCGGCGGCCACCACCCGGCGCCAGCCTTCTCATGCTGCTGCCATGTTCGCTCGCCGGGCGGCCGGGGCCGGGCTCCGGGCTCCGGGCTCCCGGCTCCCGCGGGCGCGAGGGCGGAGTTGGCGAGTTTGGCTGTCAGCGGCCGGGGGAGGCGGGGCCCTGGGGGTGCCTGCCCCGCCCCCGCCGCAGCGCCGCTCGCCATTGGCCGCCGCGCGCCGCCCCCTCCCCCGCGCCTCCGGGGCCCCTGGTGCGCGCTGCGCCCAGGCCGGCACCCGCGCGGCTCCTCCCCGGCCCCGCCTCGCTCGCCTCCAGCCTCGCTCATCTCCCCTTTCTTCGCCCTCCGCCACCTCCTCCATCTGATCCTCTCCTCTTCCCAAACCCAGCCCCGAACAAGCCAAAATAAGTGTATCGAGGCAGGGCGCGCCCCATCAGGCTAGTCGTAGGTGCCTTGGAAGAGAGCAGAGGGCGCCAGGGCCCCCGGGGGAGGCCAGGGGAGGCGGCCAGGTGTGAGCAGCCAGTCATTACCACCTCCGCTCCTGGAACCACGCTGGACAAGCTCTCCTCGCATTCTCCCTTAATCCCCACACCAACCATAAGGTTATAGGGAAACCCATAAAACCGATGATGTAACTGAGTCCTGAGAAGAATCAGGGACTCGCGCAAGGTTGCACAACAGGTAAACCACAGGCCTGGGGTTGAAATCCCGGCTCCGGAGCTTGGGCGGCTAGCCGGGGGTGTTCTCCTCTCCAAGAGGGCCTCCGATCATGCGCCACCCTCTCCGGGCCGCGCACGCAAGGTCCAGCCACCTACCTCCCAGACAGTCTCGTCTTAATAAGTTCTGCTTCCCCGGGGGGCCGGCGGCCTGCCGTGGAGAAAGAGGTCCCCGAAACGTGTGTTTCGGCACGTGTGTGTCACGTTTCGGCACGTGTGTGTCGCGTCTGGGTTTGGAGACAAGAGGGGGTCGGCTCGGCCAGAGGCCTCGCCAGCCTCTCGCCTCGCTCTTTGGCTCCTTCTCCATCAGTTTCCGGGCCCTCCACTCGCTTGTCCCCCCACCTCAACCCTAGCTGCCTCCCCGAGCCCTCGTGGAATAGCCGTTGCGGGCAGGCCGAGGCTGGCCCCTAGCCCCAGGAGCGGTGGGGACCCTGCGCGCGTGTGGTTTCCTGCCACTCATCAAAGATGGCACCGCTCACAGGGAACAGGGGACGCCGGGCTGGGCATTGCGGCTGGAGACAGAACGGAAGCACCCCAGGGTGGCGTCTGGCTGTGCTATTAACTAGCTCCGAAGCAAATGACTTCACCTCTCTGGGCCAGATTCATCTGTAAAATGGGAGTAATCATGGTATAGACTACTAAGGATTTGGGAGGATTATATGAGCTAGTTTTATAAAGCCCTTAGAATTTTGCCTGGCACATAATAAGCGCTACATAAATGTTAAATGAATGTGGAGAGAGTGGGTCTTTTATCAACATCATTCCTTGATGTGATGTGAGAGATGCTAGTACATGAGCAGCAACATCTAGCCAATAAAAAAGAGTTGTGATTCTGTTCTTTTAAAGGGAAGTCTCTCCCTAGCTGCCGTGTGAATAAAAATAAAGCTTCCATCTACATGATATGAAAAGAAAATGATCACATTTGATTCTCATAAGAAACGTGTAAAATAAACACGACCCCCATTTCACAGAAGATAAAACTGAATCCTGGCAGCAACTCAAGCTGACGGTCTAAAACAGAAGGCTTCGTTTCCAACCCACCTCCCAAACGATTGCTCCTTCAATTATCCCCATCTCGACAAATGGCACTGCCAGCCCACCAGTTGGCCAAAAGCCTCAGAACCATCAGGACTCCTCTCTGACACGTGCTACAGCCAGGCATCAGCATATTCTGTCTGCCCTTCTTGCACAGCACTTCCAGAGTCTGACCACACCTCTGTCATCGAGGGGAACCCGATTCCTCCTCCTCATCACTACCTAGACCATGCCATCTGCCTCCTCAATGCTCTACCTGCTTCCACTCTCGCTCCTCATAGCCTATATGCTCCACTCCGCAGCCAGAGTGATCTTTTAAAAGATGAATCAAATAGTATCCCACCAGGCTTGACATCTCCCAAGGCCTCAGGATGGGCTGAAAAGCTCTACCTGACTCACCCACCCCACCCCACCCCCCATCTCGTCTGTCTCCTCCCAGTTTCTGCCCCACACCCTACACCCTAGCACCCTGGCTGCCTCACCATGCACTCCACAGACAGCCTGTCCTCTGCCCCAAAGCCTTTGAACTCACCGTTCCTCTGCCTACTCGCACCCACCACTCCCCCACATATCCATGTGGCCTACTCACTGACTTTACCCAGGCCTCTGCTCAGATCTCACCTCCTCAGTCACCTTGCCTTACCATCCTGTCTAAGGTGACCTCTGTCACGTTTCATCCCTTTGTCTGGCTGTATTTTCCTTTATAGCTCCTCTCACCACCTCCCATTGTATTAGATCCCTGTTTATCTGTTTATCATCCATTTGTCTCAATAAACTATTAAACTCACTGAGATTAGAAGCTTGTGTGTCTTGTTCATTGCTGAATCCCCCAGTGCCTAAAATTGTTATCTGACCCCTGCTGGACCATGTGTATTTGTTAGACAAATGTTGACACGTGGTTCTTCTAATAACCATGTACTATGATGAGGATTGTGTAAGTTCGTATTTATAAACCCTTTAGAACTGTGCCAAGTGCCGTGTGCGAGAATGATTCAGGCCCTGGAGAAGTAAGGCCGAGGACCATGATACTCCCGCCCCTGATGGCCTGTTGATTGGGAACATGAATCGCAGGGAAATACAGCCCCCTGGGCCAAGGTGGGGGCCTGCAGAGGATGACCTGGGAGCAGAGAAGGGCTTTGAAATCAGATTGGGAAGCCTTGGAAGACTTACAGAGAGGGGAGTGGGCTGGACCCAGCCTTTGAAAGACTTGCTGGAGTTAGCTAAAGGAAAGAGGGGAGGAAATTCCAGACAGAGGGAGGTGGAAAACAAGCTATTTGGGAGGGTGTGTGGAGGAGGCCAAGAAGTGATGGGGAACCACTGAAAAACTTCAAGCAGACAGTACTCAGTCAGATTGCATTGGAGATTCATTGCTTGAGGCTCTGTGGTGGAGGGTAGATGATACTCATCACAGCCCCGCAAGGAGACCACTGCAGTCATCAGAGAGAACGAAGGCAGCAGGCGGGGGACTGGAAATGCGGGCGCAGGCGCCTGCGGTAAAACCGGGCACTTTGTGCCATTGCTGCTTAGTCACTAAGTCGTGTCTGACTCTCTGTGACCCCATGGACTGCAGCCCGCCTGGCTCCTCTGTCCATGGGATTTCCCAGGCAAGAATACTGCAGTGGGTTGCCATTTCCTTAGGGAATGAAATCTCCGGGGCCTCCTTGCTAACTGGATGCGGAAGTGAGAAGCAGTTGGGGCAACTTCCTGTCCTGGGAGAGTGAAGAAGCTGGGCGGACCTTTGTTTCTCACCAGCTCGGCAGGTCTTGCTTGATCAGTACTGAGCTGGGAAGGTCACACATCGATTCTGAGCTTCTGATAACACAGACCTTTGACCTTTGAACCACCGTGTTTATACCCATGATACCCTCCAAAACATCTTCTGGCTATTCCATATCTGCTTGCAAAACCCCCTCTCACCTCGATCCTGAATCCCAACACAACCTGACATTTTAAAATAGTTCTGAAAATAGGGCTAGAATTTTCTTTCCCCTCAATCCATGGATTAACTGCCAACCTTTACTGTTTGCATTTAGGCGAAGATTTGAGGCCCATTTTATTTTCAGATAATTGTCATGTGATTCCAAACAGAGCATCCTAAACCTTCTTTTAGAAATAAAAATAGAAAGGATTTATTCTTTTTTCACAGCCCTCTCATGATTATGAAATGGAATTTTTCTCATTAGTTTAGTTTTAATGATAATTTTAAATAGTTTTCATTATAAAAGTCACTTACAAACAGTACAGAAATTTCAGAAAACAAGATGACTTCCACCTTAATCTCTGTACCCTTACATAGCTCCTGTAAATAATTTGGTTTATTTGTTTCCACAATTTTGGAAGTATCTTGATGACAAAGAGAAAGTCTTGCTATCTAAATCTGTTTATTTCTTTGATACAAAGTAGAAACAGGCTTTGGTTATTTTTAGCTGAGTTATCCATAAATACTCAATATCCTTATGAATCTTAGTATTTGTGGAATGAAATCCTTTTGCACTTTGTGGAAATAGAGCTTTGCCAAGTTGAAAAACTAGCATAGTTATGACTGCCAACAATTCTAGAGCAATTCTAAACAGTTCTAATATGTATCATGCCCAAAGTTATGCCCAAACTTATTTTCATTAGTAAACTCTTTTAAAATGCC